GGGGTTGAGATCTGGAGACTGGCTAGGCCACTCCAGGACCTTGAAATGCTTCTTACGAAGCCACTCCTTTGTTGCCCGGGCGGTATATTTTGGGTCATTGTCATGTTGGAAGACCCAGCCACGTTTCATCTTCAATGCCCTTGCTGATGGAAGGAGGTTAGCACTCAAAATCTCACGATACATGGCCCCATTCATTCTGTCCTGTACATGGATCAGTCGCCCCAGTCCCTTTGCGGAGAAACAGCCCCAAAGCATGATGTTGCCACCCCCATGCTTCACAGTAGGTATGGTGTTCTTTGGATGCAACTCAGCATTCTCTCTCCTTCAAACACCACGAATTGTGTTTCTACCAAACCATTCTATTTTGGTATCATCTGACCATATGACATTCTCCCAATCCTCTTCTGGATCATCCAAATGCTCTCTAGCAAACTTCAGTCGGGCCCGGACATGTACTGGCTTAAGCAGGGGGACACGTCTGGCACTGCAGGATCTGAGTCCCTGGCGGCGTAGTGTGTTACTGATGGTAGCCTTTGTTACGTTGGTCCCAGCTCTCTGCAGGTCATTCACTAGGTCCCCTCATGTGGTCCTGGGATTTTTGCTCACCGTTCTCGTGATCATTTTGACCCCACGGGGTGAGATCTTGCGTGGAGCCCCAGATCGAGGGAGATTATCAGTGGTCTTGTATGTCTTCCATTTTCTAATTATTGCTCCCACAGTTGATTTGTTCACACCAAGCTGCTTGCCTATTGCAGATTCAGTCTTCCCAGCCTGGTGCAGGCTTCAATTTTGTTTCTGGTGTCCTTCGACAGCTCTTTGGTCTTCACCATAGTGGAGTTTGGAGTGTGACTGTTTGAGGTTGTGGACAGGTGTCTTTTATACTGATAACAAGTTCAAACAGGTGCCATTGATACAGGTAATGAGTGCAGGACAGAGGAGCCTCTTAAAGAAGAAGGTACAGGTCTGTGAGAGCCAGAAATCTTGCTTGTTTGTAGGTGACCAAATACTTATTTTCCACTCTTACTTGCAAATAAATTCTTTCCAAATCAGCCAATGTGATTTTCTGGATTTTTTTTTCTCATTTTGTCTCTCATAGTTGAGGTCTACCTATGATGCCAATTACAGGCCTCTCTCATCTTTTTAAGTGGGAGAACTTGCACAATTGGTGGCTGACTAAATACTTTTTTGCCCCACTGTATATGCTCTTAAAAACAACAAAACAAAAAAAACCCCAATAAACATTTTGAGCCACTCCAGTGAATTCTAATGAATGTAGTCGGTGTTCTGCAGATTTATCATAGGTATTGTCTTTCAGGAAGACAAAGCTCAAAGAACGAATCACACTTTTGTAATAACTGCATTGGTTTGATGCATTCACTTTTAATTTCACCCGAAAACACTTGTTGTAGCACATCAGAAGGCATAAGCAACATAATGTACATTAAGGCTGGCCATACATTATACAATTTTCTTGTTTGATTTCCTTTAGATATACCTTTACAACTATATAGTACAGGGGCCTGCCTGACTGCCTACAAATTGAAAGTGTATATGGTTTTGCTACGTCTAAAAGGAAAATTGTATAATGTATGTCCAGCCTACCACACCACACAACTGTAAAGGAGCCCTGGAGCTTTGGGTGAGTTCATGCAGTTATGTCAGTTTGCACTGTTTTGTCAAACTAAATTTCTGTTGACTTCACCAGCGATCACTCCAAAAGCCTCTCCCGTGAAAACAGCTTTCATGTGAGTTGTAGCTATGACAGGCAGTAAAATATGATCAAAGCAAAAAAGGACCTGCATTAGTGTTGTTGACTGTAGTGTACAGAACTTCCCAAAAACAGCATGTCCTATCTCTATTAGGAAATGAGAATATGTCATTATATACTATACAACACACGCATGCACACTATACAACATAATAGTCCCCCGATTTACAAAACACTCATCTGTCAGAGCCACAAAGGAATCTTTTATTTTTTAGCTATTTCAAAATAAATAGAGTTTACCAAAGTAACGTAAACAGTGTTTTATTAATACAAAAGAAATATACATTGGGTATACAAATGTATCGTAGCTATTGTGGAAACAATTTCGATTTTTAAATAGCTATCAATTTACAATAGATTTTGTAAGACACAAAAACTAGTTAAGAAGTATTGTGAACACGACTGGACCACTTACAAAAAAAAAAAATGTTCTCTTTGAACCCAAAATAATGTTAATTGCCTCCACGTTAATCAAAAACACAAACAATGTGATTGCCTTTTACATTTGTAAAGGCCGACCTCACCTAGATCTGATTACTCAGGTTGGTCTGCTTTTTGGCATGTTGAATCACATGCTATATCTATACTTTTTTGGAGGTTCCAGTGGTGAGATAGCTACTACAGTGCCTAGTACACAGTTTTTTCATTCAACCCAGCGGGCTGAATGAAAAAAAAACAAACAAAAAAAAAAACGGAAGTGCTCAGGAGGAGAACCTGTAATAACAATCTGATGTTAGTGCAGCGTTATCCCTGCTAAGCTATCGTGTTCTTCAGGGGGACGCCTCCCACCCCCGCAAGAACACACCAGTCGGCGCTCTCAACCATTGGATGAGAGCACTGATCGGATGCCAATCAGTAGACCTTTTTTAAGTCATGCCCCATCGACAGAAGCTGGATGTTCGGCTGGCTTCTGTTGGACCGGCTGCCATACACACGGGCCAAATGTCGGACAGTTTTCTATTGAACCAGCTGATACCGCCGATTTTCGGCCTGTGTGTACAGGGCTTTACCAGTACTGTCTCACTATCATTATGCAACTAAATGATGGTATCCTGATCTAAAGGGCCCCCCACAATGAAGTCTATACAAAAGAAAAGTGGAAATAAAAATATGGCCATATGGGGGGTGAGAGAGAGAGACAATCTACTACAGAAGATTATCACCACTGGAGTCTCCAGAAGATGCTGCATGATTCCTCCCACAAGTGCCCATCTACCACTGAAAACAGTTTAAGATGTAGCTTAATTTTGTATTATAACATATATAACAGGAAATGCTCATATTCTAAATAAACATACACATGTATGCACTAGTGCTCACTGTTCTCAATGCAGTGACTGCATTATGTCCACAACTATGACTGTGTGTAATTAGTTTTAAATGGGCAGCATAATCTGTACATATTTATGCCGTCAAGATCACAGTCCACACCAAAAAAAAAAATCCGTAGGTGTTGATCATGTGTTCCTGACTACATAAAAAGGTAAAGTAGACAAAAAGTAAGACATTATATTTAGTATGACTGCACTGCCACATAAATCTGGGTATCCCAACAAATCAATACTGAGGCATTTCTTGTTGGCGTTTGTTGATTTTCCACTTCCAGTACACTTCAGAAAAAATTGCACCAAGAATAGTGACAAGTGAAATAAAAACAACCCATAATTCATCTAGCAATCGGTGGCTAAACCACTTATTAATCCTAATTAAAGAAATGTAAGTATGACCTAAGATGAAGATGAAGAGGGAAGGTTAGGAGGGAGAAAGGACAGGGAGTGGAGAAGAAAGAAAGGGAGAAAGGACGGGGAAATGAAAAAAAGGAGAGAGAACAGGCGGAGAAGAAAACAATATGGGGAAAAAAAAACAAGGAGAGATGGATAAGGAGGGAATAAGAAAAGGGGGAGAAGAAAAGACCAGGAGAGATGAGGAAAAGGAGAGAGAAAGAATAGGAAGAGAGGAGAAAAGACTGGGAATGATGAAGAAGAGACAGGAAGAGAAGAAGAATGGCATGGAGAAAGGACAGAGAGAGAAGAAGAAAGAAAAGAATAAACGCCATGAAGAAATGTCAGGGAACAGAGAGAGATGGATAAAAGGAGTGAGAAAGAAAAGGAAGGAGAAAAGACTGGGGGAGATGAAGAAAGAATGGGAACAAAAGAAAAGGTGAGAGATAAGACCAGGAGAGATAAGGAAAAGGAGGGCAAAGAAGAACCAAGATGGAAGAGGAAGGAACTATTTTCTCTGTCCACAAGGAATCCTCCAGGATCTCTTATTGTAGGGCAAGGTTGCTAGACTCTATATGTGGATGGGCATAATTAATCCATGATTATCAAATGAATTTTACCATGCCTGTCTGTAAGGATATTAGGTTTTTTTTAAACACAAATCCCCTGAGTTCAGTTTTAATTAAATACTTTTACTATAGGTTCAAGCCACTGGTGACTAAGCCCACTGAACCTCATGAAAAGAAACAGTTTTGAGAGCTCCTCCCCTCGAATGGTTCTGGGGTTCAGTATTACTGACCTACAACAGAAAATACTTTATTATAAGACATTGAATGAACCATTTTCTGGATGCTGAGCTGATTATTTGAAATCATAAGTATCTGGTAGTCTTTCTTCACTGATACATATACCATCTGGACAAGGATTGCCACTCGTTACTATATAGCAAGAACTTGCACACCAACTGGGCTCATTCCCAATAAGTTAAACATCAACAAAACTGTGACACGCTGCTACATAGCACAACTAATGAAATCTATTAGGGTTTGGTGAGACTTTTATATATAAATATATACACACAGTACATGATAACCATTTCACAAATCCAGTCCTCCTGGAATTGCCATATATATATATATATATATTTAGAATACAACAAAAATGTATATATTATTTACATCATGCTTTGGAAAAAAATGCTTTTTCTGGTGTAAACAAAGAAAGCAAAGAAACAGCAAGGATATAAAGAAACATGGACATACCATTTAAAAAAAGTGAACAAAGCATTTTAATACAAAAATGCCTATAACAAGTGCATAGCATATATTGAAACAAAACAGCTTACAGTGATGATGCTTCAATGGCATTGTATCAAAACTGTACACTGGAAATAACTCTGTGACTACTACTTACACAAGGTATGTTCTACAAAAAAATGATATTTTGGCAGCTGGCATGGTAGCAGTAGTGGTTTGTTTTGGGTTTCAGTAAAAGGAGCTGTTTGCACATCCTCTACTTTGAAATGCATCATTGTTTCGTTCTTTCAAGATCATGCTTTTTCCTAAAAATGAAAAAAAAGTGCATGGAAAAGAGCAGTGAGTGATTTGGTCCAGATTCTATGGTCATAAACTGATATAAGGTAAATAAGGTAAGAGAGGTATATATTTTTCCGATATGTAATGATATACACTTGAGCTTATGAAAACTGCAGGAAAGGAATAGGAGGTGGTTTATTTTTTAGAAAATAGGTGGCCTCACTAGGTAACACCTCATCTTTTCTCCAGTTTCCATAAATACGATCCTCTGATTACTCAAAGCTAACATATTCATACCACAGGATAAGCTATTTCCATAATTAATATACAAGCATGCACTCTACCAAGGACACAGGTTCATAGGTACCCCAATTAAATGAAACATCAAGTACTTTCATCCAGTGAGTTCTCATTTAAATGTCTAGAAGTTAGAAAATGTTTTGTTCCATGTTCTGTATTAATGCCTTCTATTCCAATAATAAGTTTGTTTACTATAGAAATATAAGGACCATTTTGAAATGTATGGCCTTTTTGGAGAGTAATGTCGTCCATGGAATAGCATCATTGTAGAACCTGGAATAAACAATGACGTGTCATTAGCCGACCCTGATTCTACAGTTGCTCTCCATACAGGAAGTAGTATTGCTCTCCTTACACAAAGTAGTATTGTAGTTGTTGCAGTGTATACCTATAAAGTGAAAGTTCACCTTAGAATTGTGACCCAAACTAAATCCACTGGGTCCCCTTATGTATCAACCGCTTTGAGTGTGGACAAGGACAGAGCTTATCCCACCTCTAGATATCTAATCAAAAAGGGAGAAGTCCTGGAAGATGTGCATCTCTGCAAAACCCTGTAAGGTGTATGACAGCCTTGGGCTCCATCCAGGTCACACCCACCAAACCTTAGAATTACTATATGAACATTAAACATATATAACACATTTACCTTGAGGAATGCATAGCACCATGTTTGACTTATGTCTAAGCTCCGGTTGTCCAGCAATCTGCACTGGAAACTGCCAGTTATAAACAGAGGCACCATGCAGCTCATGGGGTTGATTTACCAAAACTGGAGAGTGCAAAATCTGGTGCACCTCTGCATAGAAACCAATCAGCTTCCAGGTTTTATTGTCAAAACTTAACTGAACAAGCTGATTGGCTACCATGCACAGCTGCACCAGATTCTGAGTGTTCCAGATTTATTAAATCTCCCCAATGGCCTCACTCATTCCTCCTCATGCTATCCAAGACAGCATCAGGGCACAGAGGAAGACTGTTCAAGCAATGTCCATTCAGAGGACATAGATAGAAAGAGGGGTGCTGAGCAATAGCATGAGTTGCATGGTTTTGCTGGTAAGTCTGAGGTTTCCAGTGTGAATTGCTGGACATCCAGAGCACGGACAGAAGTTCAACATGGAGCTATCGAGGTACATGTGTTACATGGTTGTGTAAAGTTCATTGAGAAATTTAGAGTGAACTTCCACTGTGAAACCTTTTTAGCAATAGAATGCTTCCTAGTTGGAAATAAATGAACAGTACATTTCAGCTGTCATACACACTAATTGTAAGGTATGTAGTACAATGAGATAAAAATATCAAAGTGTAATAATATAAAGACCAGTCCCTAATCTCATCCTGTGCACAACTGTCACAACCCTGGGCAAGTCAAAGTGATGTAGAGATGGCCGAGGTTACCTTCTTTGAAAACTGCACATCAAATGATCTAGAATTATGGACAGCTAAAGATATATGCGCAACATGACATTTTCTATAAAAGTTACACTTAACCCTTCCTGCAATGTTTGAGTATACAGTTTTCACTGAATGCAGTGGCTTACCTTGGGTGGGGGGAGGGAGGCTTAGGCGTTACACCTAGGTTGAGGGTGCTCTAAGAACATATACCCTGCAATCCCCAGGATCCCTGTCAACCTTAGCGACAGCGGCAGCTCAAACCAGAGAAAACGTCTCTTAAGCACCTCCTGGGCTCTAACGTGCCATATGACAGCCTAGAGGAAGTTTTGATATGAGCTCTGGTAATAGTTCCAATGCAGAGGAGAACATTTAGTAGATGGCGCTTTCTCTGGCAGAGGAGTTTTTTTTTTGTGTGGGAGGTTCTGCTGGGGAAAAGTAGGGGTTTTGCATTGCGGGGGGGAGGGTGTTTGCTGGGGACAAGTGTTTTGCTGGTGGACGTATGTCTGTCGGGGAAATGGGATTTTTGGGAGGAGGGACAGATATTCATTGGGGCTTGGAAATAGAATAATGGAGGGATTTTTGCTTGGGGGAAGGGAAGGAGGAATTGTTGGCTGTATATTGTCACAATTTCCCATTTGTTGTCTGCATATTATAACAATTGTCTGTTGGTTCCCTGCGTATTGTCAAAATTGCTCATACATGGTGACAATTGCTGGTTTGTTGTCAGCATATAGTCTCAACTGCCAGTTTGTTTCAGTATAGTGTCACATTTTTGCATTTTTTGCCCATTTTCTTCCTACATATTGGAAGTATTGCCCATTCGTTGCATAATATAACAATCTGCTTGTTGTCTGTGTATTGTATGATTGCCCGTTTGAGGGCAATGTATTGTCAGACAAGCCACTAGGCTTGTCACTATCAAAGCACACCACTATTCCTCATGTATCACCACGGTGCACTATATGTACCATTATTAAACCTTTGAATCCAACTTTATTTAGCGTGTCAATATTATCATCCCCACTTTTCTCCATGGCACTCAATTTTATTTTTGCCCATTATTAGTATTCATTTCTCAATTTTGAGAAAATACTTTTGATGTATAGAGGAACATCGGAAAGGGGCTTGTTAAAAAATAGGACCTGGGTAGCAACTAAGCTAGGTACGCCAATGGCTGAAAGTAACCCCTGATTCCATTTTATTTCATCCTATTCTCAGTTTGCAATGCCCATGTTTAATCACAGGTTATCATTAAAGGACCCAGTAACTAAAATCTGGCCACTTTGGCAACCATTACATTAATTCAGCATAATGGAATATGATTTAGTATATTTCACCTAAACAATATTCAGTGACTCTGAAAAGCTTCTGTGAAGGTTCAGATTTTGGCTATGTCTATTCCGGCTACGCACAGATGAAAACATTATGTTGCAGCCTGCAACTTTACATTTATGGAGCTGCCGAAGATGGACAGTTTTGTAATGGGCCCTAAATGTCCCTTTGTTACTATATGTTTTTTGACAGATTTGGCAGGTTATTGGCATACCAGAAGGGATGTTTGAGAAACTTTGCTGAGCTCTAGCAACCAAATTCCAATTGTGACAAATCTCATCCTGTGGTATGAAGCTCAGGCCTTGACCGCTTTCATCACTATCGTCCACTGGTAGGTTACCTTCTTCACTACCACCATCCGAGTCCCAGGAAGAGTGGGAACTGCTGGCTGACTTGATGCTCGAGGTGGTGCTCAAGTCCAACACAACGCTGTCATTCATAGAATCAGCAGCAAAGCTGTTTAAACAAGAATCTCTAATCTTGTTCAAGGGGTAAACCAGACTCCCTGTTCGGTTCATTCCTTTAAAGATCACAGATGTCTGTCCAGGGTTCTTTAATGGCAAGTCCTGGAAACGATCCTTGGACATCTCTTTGACAAGAAAAGGAATATTGTAAGGACTGTTTTGCATTTCTAGGGCATCTTTGGTCAGTAGTTTATGATGAAGGTTCAGATTAGAACTGTGCCTGTGAAAAAAAAAAGTACAAATAAATAAACTGTAGATACCAGAACTTGTTCATTTAAGAACTTTCATTATTATTCAATGGAAATTAAAAGCAATCGTTTTCTATTACAAGGCCGCTGGGTTGTTGATTTTGTCCATGTATAGGAATCTGATATTTTTTACTTCCTTCTCTTCCATGTCCTTTTATTATAAGAAATATAGTACCATTCAAAAAAGATTAATATACAGTATATATCTGCCCCTACCTAAATGTCAGATTTAAAGCCCAAGTCCAGGAATTAGAAAAAGTCTACCCTCGAAGTGAGCCTCAACCACCTACACTGAAAGGGTTAACCACTCATTATGTCTATGGGTACTGTAATGAGTAAATACTTACCTTATTCCATGATCCAGCAGTGCCCTGTCAGCCGCCTCTCTAAGGCACTCCTGGACAGACAAAATTATTGACATAGAAACTACGATGGAGGCTTTTGCCACTGAGAGTGTGTGTAAATCTAACAAGCCGAATGTCAGCTGTCACATGGAAGTGATCTGGCACTTCCACAAACTCTGGTTACTGCAGATCCTCCCCAAACACCCCCACCACGTTTCCCACGCTCCACACACCCACTGGCGGAGGCAGGACTGGCATGGCAGGTGCCCCTAGGTAGAGGGAGAGAGAGATCAGCGAACGTCCTGTTACTGACCTGGAGGAGATCTGTAATACAGGGTTTCTCAACCAGGATTCCATGGAACCCCTAAGGTTCCTCCAGAGGTTGCTAGGGGTTCCTTGAGCAATGAGCAGTTTCTGACTCTCAGATAAGCTCCCACTTACACCATTTATCTTTTTTAGCTATCTGTAAAGGGGTAATTCTTCCCCATGACCACAAGTTTTAAGGAGCATTCTACCCACTGATCATCACACTAATGTATCATGAGTCATAGATACAATAACTTTTAACATAGGTTTCCTGAGAACAGAAAGGTATTTCAAAGGTTCTTCTGTCTTGAAAAGTTTTAGAAAGGCTGATGTAATATGTAATTTCCGTTTCCAGATGTCACTGTCTCAAGCCAGTATGGCTGAGTAAGTAGCTAATTGAACACGGTCTGCATTCTATTAGCTTCATTGGAGGACAGGAGATACATAATGGGTCTTTTTAGACCTTAGTCTTATTAAAGAGAACCTTTATTAAGAAAAATCTTCACATAGTAGACTTTTTGTTGCTTATGAAAAATTAGAGAGCACCGAAGTTTGTGGCCACTTCATGGGTGCACAGAATTTTAAGGTTTGACATGTTAGGTATGCATTTACTCAGCATAACCTCATTTTTATACTTTAGAAAAAATGTGTAATTGACTGCATTTGTGTATTTTTTTGTTACTGAAATTTTCCATTTCCTAACCCACTGCGCTAATATTCTGTGACATACAACTTTGGAACTAACACCCCTCTATGTTATCTGCTTTCTGAAAATATAGAATTTTGGGGGGTTTTACGTAATCTTCAGACCAAAACAAATGTTTTTAGATAAACAAAAACCGCAAAAATGGCTCTGGCAGTGAAGGGGTTAACAGCTCTGCATTGTATGTGATAATGGAGAGGGACTGCCCACAAACTGGAGCTTCTGGGAGAAAGGTGCAGCATCAGAGTTGGGAATAGGGCAAGTAACAATGGCTGTTTCTCTACCCCTTTATCCTGATAAGGAGCAATTAATCCTTGGGGTGCAGGGAGGGAGGGGCACTGCAAGGGTACATTTTGTTTTCTAATTTTGGAGTAAAGATTTAGCTTGAATGAAGCCTCAATTCACCAACTAGTAAAGGCTATATACCGCTTTACTTTATTCCATGAATGTACAGTTACTGAAGGGCTTAAATCTTTTTTTGCAAAGGTGTGATGACCCTCAATGTAGTTCTTGAAGATTTATTTCTATTAAACCTGAAGCATAAGACTTCATTTTTTTTAGAATTACAGAATTCATTCAAGCTACGAAAATGTGCAATTTATGTCTCTTACTAAAAATAAACAATTTTGTTAATGATTTACTTTTGTTGAACAAAAAAATATTTCAAACAAAATTTGTAAAGCCAAGAAAGTGCCCAGTTTTCCCTGCACATATTTTTATACCCCCTCGTGTGTTCTGTGTAAACACATCCCCCATTATAACTTCATGCTAAGAAGAGGTATCATTTCTTTTAACAGAAAAACTTGAGATGCTCAAACTTGGCATTATGGCTTCCTCAATAGCCACAAGGGATATAAATCCACTTTGTGTGCAATGAATACCTTTGCAAACATAGATATCATCTTGAAAGTGTAGCAGTAACCTCATTACTGAGCTGCTCGTAGCTTTTGCCCACCCACTAAAGGCTGCCCGCAGAGAACTACTGGATGGGTGTAGACAAGACCAGTCACCCTGCACATGAAACAAGAGCAGCAGTGACTGGTCTTCATTACAGGAAACTCTTGTACAACGTTTAAATAACACTGGACTACTGCACAGAAGATTCAAATAAGAATATACATACACATTCTTTTCATGTCAAGCAGCACAGTGGCTAAAACGTTAGCACATCTGCCTGGCAGTAGTAGGGTCGTTGGTTCAAAACCCAACCATGGGACCACCTGCCTGTAGTTTGCATGTTATCCTTGTGCCTGTGTGGGTTTGCTCTGGGTACTCTGCTTCCTCCCACACTCCAAAGACATGCTGGTAGGCTAATTGGATCTTGTCTTAATTGTCCCTAGTATGTGTATGAATGTAAGTTAGGGACCTTAGATTATACGCCCCTTGAGGGTCAGGGACTGATGTGAATGTACAATATATATACTGCGTAAATTGACTGCGCTATACAAGTACCTGAAATGAATAAGTCCAGCTGGTTTTAAACTCAAAATCGCAAAATGTTTTTTTTTACCTTAATGCATTCTCTGCATTAAAGGTAAAAAAGGCCACACTATCTGTTCCATTGCTCCCCCCCCCCTCCCCTCATCCCTAAAAACGTACCCGACTCCTCTCCCTGCTCCAGTGTCATCACGGCTGCAACACTGCTCTCCTCTCCTGGTCTTGAAGGAGACACTGAAGATAGAGGGAGCCATAGGCTCCTTCATCTGTCAGTCACACTCCTGTAAGGAGGGAATGGGGCACAAGCACGGGTTTTAGCAAGGGGCAAGAGGGGAAGGGGACAAAACTGCCAAGAGGAAGTAAGGGACCACTCTATGTAATATCATTGCACAGCAAGGGTAAGTATAACATCTTTTTTATTTTAAGAAAAAAATAGATTTAATATCATTTTAAGGTGGATGTTTTCAAAACTTTCATTTTATTAATAGCTGTATCAATACCATTTCTATAGCAATGTATTTTACGGTCAGCAGATTATACACTTGATTAATCATGGGGGCCATTTCTTAAGAAATGCATAAAAGTGGGATTTTTTTTAAATATGCCCTTCACCCATTGGTCCAGAGGAGAATCTATACTTATTTTAAATATTTTTGTTTTCAAGGTACCTTCCAGGCTTCACCATGACATACAGCACAGGAAGCTTTTCTAAGAGTGAGTCCAGTGTGAGCAGAAGTAAAACAATTCTCTCCACAGACAATATTATATAATAATGAAACACTACATTTTCAAACTTGGTGACATGGTTTGATTATCAGTGTCTCATGGGAAATGTACAAAATATCTGATGCATTAAGGCAGGACAAAAGAGGACCAATGACGCAGATTATCAGACATTTACAAAGTGATCACATCCTGAGTCATAAATTCCCTTACCTCTGCTCAAAAATCAAGCATACCCCCTGACCACTTGTAAGCATGTGTTTTAAAATGTTCTGTGGGAATGCACTAAACTGTCCACTGATGTAGCCTACAGCTTCTACCTTCCTACTGGCTAACAAACGTGAAGGATTCATTAAAAAAAAAACAAAAAAAGGACAAAACGTGTGGCGCAAAGTGATGATACAGACTTTGCATCCAATTTTTCCATGAATTAAGCATGACTGGTTGCTTTTGAAAACACCGCTTTGGTGCTCGTCTTCTGATGTCCAGCTTTTTTTAATCAACTACTCTGAGTAATCTCAGTATGTCAGGTGTCTGGGCTCCTGGTCTGTACAATCTCATTTCATGCTTGGTATGCTCAGTAAGAGGCCATTCCTACTATCACATTACCACAATACAAATTACATGCATTACTGTGATGCAGTGGCATTCATCTTGAATGGTACCCCAATGCACTTTGCCAACACGTGTGCTGCAGTGCATTGAGATGCATGGCATCGCATTAATGTGGTAAATGCATTCTTTTTGATGTATGTATTATGTATTCCATATTTCTATCCCAACATATTTCTTTTAGCGGACAGCCGAACTCTTATAAATAAAAAAAACTGTTTATGTGTCTCCCTCTCTTAGGTCTAATCTCAAAAGAGGTCTAATCTCAAAAGATTAGACCTTGGACGCAACAAGATCCCACTCCACACTGACTGGCTTTTGGCTGTTCGAGGCAGCGTTTATATTTTATCGAAATAAAAAAAAATGTATCAAAATAAAAAGTAAAGAACCGTCTAATGAAAATAAACAAAATATTAATATTAACTATTACTAATGATAATCAGGCTGCATATACAGAAATAAATATGTCTCTTTTATAAATTTTGTTTTTATCTAGCAAGTACTGCAGCGTGCGTTTAAAAACCCTGTGCTGGAGCACGTAGGAGAGTTGGACTGCTGTGCTGGAGCACGTAGAAGAGTCGGACTGCTGTGCTGGAGCACGTAGAAGAGTCGGACTTCTGTGCTGGAGCACGTAGGAGAGTCGGACTGCTGTGCTGGAGCACGTAGGAGAGTCGGACTGCTGTGCTGGAGCACGTAGGAGAGTCGGACTGCTGTGCTGGAGCATGTAAGAGAGTCGGACTGCTGTGCTGGAGCATGTAGGAGAGTCGGACGGCTGTGCTGGAGCATGTAGGAGAGTCGGACTGCTGT